GTAGAAGTTAGGCGAGAAGAAACAAGAATGAGGAAGAGGGGTCCAGACTGAGGGACTAGCACATGTTAAGGCCCTGAGGGAGAACCAAGAAAAGGCTTATGCTGGAAGCACAATGGCAGTCAGGAGAGGGCCCTGGGCTGTGCGCTCTGTATTGGGAATCATCTCTCTAGCTCTGCCTTCAAGTGTCTCCCCAGCAGCACTCACTCGGCCCGCCTCAGGCCTCTGTTGTCCGGGTCCTCAGGAGATACCAGCCCCTGAAGGCATGTTTGCTGGGGTGCAGTGAGAGAGCAGGCCTATAACTAGTATCCATGCAGTCAGGGCCCTGCAGATGGTAATAACCTGAATGTCTGCCCTGTGCCCACAGGCCATGCTGGAGCAGCTCCTGATTCACCAACCCAAGGAACCCATCAGTTTCATGATTGAGCACTTGCAACGGAACAACGATCATGGTGAGCATGTGGGTGCACCACTGTGCCCCTTCTTTCTCCTCCAGGGATCCACCCCAACGTGAGTGCAGCTGGGAACCTCTGTCCTACTTGCGTCTGAAGAAAGGTCGAAACAGCATGGGGAAGGGCTTTGACAACTTGCAGTGGTTAACTGGAAAATGCCTTCATTTCTTTTGGAGCTTAACTAATAAAAATTCTCTTGCCAAGTTATTAAAATGCAAACCTCAGAATGGCCCACAGAATCAATTATTAATGCTTCCGCCTGCCCTAGCTGATGTCGCCTATTGGGTTTAAGCTCTCTGATCACTCCACTTGTCAGGTGTAAGTTTGGTTTCTGGTCTACCTAGACAGGCAAGCATTTGGGCTTTTCTGATGGTCTCATTATCGGTGCCCTCTAATGAGTTCCACAGCTCCCCAAACCTCTGCCCAAGTGTTCATCAGCCAGACCCAAGGCCAGAGCACAGAACCAGGGATTGGAGGCAAAAGGAGGGAGGTGCCTGAGGAAGCAGGGCCCATCACTGCATCCCAGGTCTGTGGGTTTGCCAAGTAGAGAGTTGTTGTGCCCTGGGTGAGCTGTCAGAACTAGTGTCTTGATGCTTTGAGGTTTTCTCCATTGGACTATTAGCTGCTTTGAAGAAGCCACCAGTACACCAGTGAAGGGAGTGCTCCGTGCAGGTGTGAGACCTGGAAGGCCCATGCTGAGTCATTTAAATTTAAAAAATGTAAGAGAAAGGAGGTGCCTCACTTATAGGTGCACCTGGCTCACCAACCTTTTCTGTGTGCTGATGGTTTCAGGCTTGGCCTGCATGCATCAGAGTGAAGGCCTCTTGTGTCCCAATGTCATTGCATGGACCTAAGCAGGGGGTCCAAAGAGAGCCCCAATAATGCCCACTTCTGAAGCTCTAGAGAGACACAAATGGCAGAATCTCTGGGCATTCCCTGGCTCAGCCGAGCACCCATAGGCCTCAGGTAAGGATAGAGCCATGATGGGAGAAGCTGGGAGAACCCCTTTTCTGAGCTGTTCAACCTCACCTTCCCAAGGTGATTTGCTTTGCTTCTTTCCTGGTTGACTATTTACTATGAGGTGTAGGTGGGAGATTCCGCCTCCTCTGGTTTCCGTACTCTGCAGAGTGGGTGTTTAGTTCTCTTTTCCCTTCTGATGGTCCTTACTGCTGCACCCTGAGGCTCACTCCAACCTCATCTATGTGGCATCACTTGCCAGAGGAAGAAGTTTCCTATTTCCCCATCCCTGAGCCTAGCAGGAGCTTGAGCTGCAATGTCTCTGGCCCCATCCTTATTAACTCCAGCACTGCTGACTGCATTTCTTTTTCTTTTTTCTTGATGGTACTGGGGTTTGAACTCAGGGCTTTGTGTTTGCTAGGCACTCTACTGCTTGAGTCATGCCTTCAGCCCTTTTTGCTCTGATTATTTTGGAAATAGAATCTCACGTTTGGCTCAGGTCAGCCTGGACTTGGATCCGCCTGTTTTATGCTTCCTGACACAACAGATGACAGGTGTGTGCCACGACACTCAGCTTTTTTCTGTTGAAATGGTGTCTTGCAAACTTTTTTTTTTTTGCCCAGCTGGCTTCAAACCTCAGTCTTCCCAATTTCAGCCTTCCAAGTAGCTAGGATTTCAGGTATGAGTCACTGGCACCTGGCTTTCTGGCAGCATTTCTGCCAAGGTTTCCACTGCCAGATAAGTGATCGCAAGGGGAAGTCCAGTAAAAGTTAGGCAAAGCAAAGTGAATGTGAACCCAAAGTGAAGGGGAAGCAAGAGCAGAGCAAAAGCAAAAGGAACATTAAGGAGGCCAGCAGTAGACCAACAGCTGAGCTGCAGGCCACCTGCATCCCACAGTCGCTGGGCCTGTGTGCCCTGCTCTGCAATTTTGTGTGCCCTGTTCCAAACTTTGCTAGGCCTTCAACCTGGGAATTCTAGAGCCTGAAACTTAAGGCTGATTCCATGTCCTGCTATGGTTCGATCCTGCTGCTCCAGCTGCAGGTTTACGTGCAGTGTTGAATTCCCCACCACAGCAGGACTTTTAAGTTCAAACTTCATTATTCTGGGCTGGATGCAGTGTAGCTGATGCCAGCTGGACAGCCACCTCTTCCCTTGTGACAGTCCCTGAGTCATCTCCTTCTGTGCACTCACAGGGCTCATGGTTTTCCAAAGGTTGCCCTCCATGGAATCTTTACCCCCTTTTCCACAATGTACATGCTCTGTTGCTCTTGAGTGTGGGAGGAGGGTCCAGACCTGCTCTCTCGGCTCCTAGCTGCGACCAGCCTCCTGTCTGTGTCCTGAATGGCTGGAGTCACATATTCCAGCCTAGATGCACTTGGGGCACAGTCCAGAATCCCAGTAGCCATTGTTTTGGGAGGATAATTTGTTCCCACGGTTCTCCACCCCACCCCCAGGTCTTAGGCTGGCAGCTTTCATTGATGTTGGGACATCTGGGCCCTATGGCTTCATTCCCAATTGCTTAAGTGGAAAGAGGACAGATATTTGTGGCTTCTTCCCCTTGCCCAAACTTCCCCCAGACAAGTGAAATGACAGCTGAATGGAGGAGAGGACACTGGGGAACAGCTTGCTTTTGTCACTTTTCTAGGAGTGGGGAGACGCCTGGAATCAGTTTAAGTCAATCCTCTCATGTTCTAGAACAGCATAGGAGTTTGTAAAGGTCCCGTGTGACATCCAACGAGCATTTCTGTTGCCCTTGGCTAGTTGTCAGGTTGGCATCCCTCCTTCCAGCCTGTGTCAACTGGATCCAAGACCTTAACCCTTCTGCCTGCTGGGTATGGGGTTACTTTAGACACAGGAAACACTGGCCAGTGACTGATGTGGCAGGAGGGAAGGCTCTGGACTCATCCCACCCTGTGAGTGCACACAGGAGGGAGCACAGGGAGCCCGGCACAGGGGCCGGCAGCCCCTTCGCTGTGAGAAAAGCAGATTTAGTACAAAGTGAGCATTTACAGTGGCCCTGGGCAATATTAAAGCAGGCGGTGGTGGATATAATGGTGTGTTTCGTTTCTTATCAAACGTTTGTCCAGGAAAGCTGTGTATTAGAGCTCCAATACCTAAGGGTTTTCTTGTGAATTTTAAATTATGCTCCTAGTTAAACCTCAAAAGGCTCTGTGGATGGAAAGGTTCTTTGATTTCCTTTGAAGTGGTTGGAGGAAGTTGATTACTCTTGGCAGTCAAGCAGCCTTTTATGACACTGTTTATAAATAATTACTCATGAGCAGGGCTGGAGTTTCAAGGTGTTAGATTTTAAGAAACTGAAATTAATCACATAAATGAGTATGAGAAATTAGGTGGGGAGAAAGGCCATGGATGTTCCTCTTTTAAAGTATTTTCGTAGATGTGTACAATTTGGGTGCCACTTACAGGAGCCAAGAGGGGAGGGCTTTTCCTGCAACATCAGCCCAGTAACTTTGACAAGATGAATGAATACTCCACGTGGCTCCTCGACTTGGTCCCAGAATGCCCTTGTCCAGATGTGTCTCCTTTCTCTCGGGCTCTACAGCCATGAGCCATGCTGGGTTTGGCCAAATCCGGAAGAACAGTAAAGATGTTCTTAGAGCACCTTAGAGCAATGGGTGCACGAGCGAGCAGAACCCTGTCTCCTGCTGCTCCCTCACCCTGACCTTGGCCAATCAGGTGTTCTCCCCATGGCCCTTGAGAACCCTCCACATGGTGGCTGAGACCTCTCTTCCTTTTATTACCTTTCCCACAGGCCCCCAAATCTTCTGTGGCATTCAGCTCCAATCTTGCCTCATCCTCTCACCTGACCAAGTATCCCCAAAGCCAGACTTGCCCTGCAAGCAGTATTTTCCACTTGGTGTGGCTTCTCTCACCCAGGTGGAGAGTGCTGGAAGTTCTTGCTTTCGCTTATAGGCCTAGAGTAGAGAACAGGTCCCACGATTCCTGCTTTGGCTCCCTGACTCAGACCCTGCTTTTAAATCCCAAGTACCTCCCAGCTTCTTTGTTGACCAAGGCCTAAGCCTGTGACTTGAGCTGCCCTGGTCAGCTGACCCTTTCCCAATGGCTGTGCAGGCCCTGGGTCCTAGGTGATAGTGGCACCATGGCTGGGTAACCCTGTGGCCTGGACATATATACAGAGCATCAAGGGCATAGGCTGCCTGTCTGATGTCTGGTACAACAGTGCTCTTCCCTCAGACCATTTGTGATCTCTCTTGGGGTGGCCCTGGGCCTAGCTCCCCAGCTTGTGCTGGATATTGTGGGCTGCTGGCATCTGACTAAAGTCCTTATCTTCTCACCCGATCTGTATCTGGCTCCTTGGCTTGTCCCCTAGCACGCTGATTACAGAGAGGGAGCCTTTTGTAAGGTGGTAGTAATAGTGGTAATGACAGTGACAGTGACCATAGAAATTGCTGGGGACAGATGCTGCAGTGCTGATGTATGGGTGGCTCCCCAAGTTCTGGCTGCCCTGGGGGAAGGCCAAGGAAGCTGAGTCTTGTTGCTTGCCCACAGGGAGCTGGCCTTTCACTGGGGACAGCAGTGTGGCTGCTCGTTGGCAGCAGGGTAAAGCCCACCAAGATGGAAGATGAGCAGCTGCACCCACTTGATTGAGAGTCCACTTGGGAAAGCCAGGCACAGCCTCAGGGAGGAAGAGACAGTGGGGTCTGGGGTGACTGCTGGGTGGGTGGGGGCAAAGAAGGCCATTCCTGATAAGAACATGACAAGTGACAAGATAGGAGTGTGGAAGGAACATGTACTAGAAGAAGGAGAAAGTCTAAGGATCTTAGATCAAAGGAGGGGGTTGTTTGGGACTCCTGGGTGATTCTTTGGGGCCCAACTAGATGAAGCTCTGGAGGGCAAGGCTGTTAGAATGACCAGCAATCACTGCAGCCTTCTGGAGGCCCTGCCCCTAAGCATCCAAGAGGACTTTTGGCCCACAGAGGACTGTGGTACTGTGGTGGGCAGGAAACACACCAGCCTGACTTGGACAGAAAAGTGTCACAGAGATTTCCTGAGCTGTGACACCCTTACATCTCTGGCCAGAGCTAGGTAGGAGACGTTCCCAGGCACCTGATCTAGGGCCTCCTTGTCTCTGACACCCTCAGTTCACTCCATCACCAGCAGGAAGGCTGTGGCCTCAAAGACACCAGTTTTCTGTGTGGCACATATCAGGGACTGGTAACCCAGCTTTAGGAATGGACAAACAACTGGGCCAAGGCACCAGAAACCAGAGTGGCAATAGAAAGCCATGCCCTGGTTGTCCAACCTGCATGTTCCCAAGGGGAGGGCAGCCCAGAGGATGTGGCTCACTCCCAGTGCTCATCTGGCCCAGCCCGCTTGCTAACCTGCCGCTAGGACACATGCTCCAGCCTGCTTTCCTTCTCAGCTTCCAGTGTGAGCGTGGAGCCAGTGCTTTGGGAGGCCTTGTACAGTGGGTCAGTGACTCATCATGAGCTCTCTTCACCTTTTCTCTGGAAGTGAGGAGCTGCCAGGACTTTGGGCAAAGGTCTAGTTAAACTCAAGCAGCCTGGCAGGGAATCGATGTGCTGGCTATTACATTGCTGGCTAAAAGGACACCATCCAGTTCCTTCCCATGTCGTTCCCAGAGTAGATGCCATGCATGTCTCTCCTTTGCACAGAGCAGAGTCCCTCCTGCTGGCCTGGCAGGAATGGGCTCTCCATGTAGACAGTAGAGGCTCAAGCAGGTGGGAGCAGACAGTGTTCATGTGTCCCCTTGGGTAGGGCCAGGCAGGGAGGTGACATAATCAAGAGAGCATTCAGCAAGCATTCACCACGGATTTGTGGTCCAGACTCACATCCTGTGTCCTTCATTCTGACCCAGTGCCCATACCCACCTGTGCCCTTCTTACCATGGTGGTCTCTTTTCTAGTCACCACACCTACTCTGAGGTCTGGTAGTTGGGTTAGGAATTCTGCAGGGCCAAGAACATTCCAGAGCCAAGATGATAGCCACAGATACACTGCCAGTTTTTGCCATTTGCATAGAAATGCATGCATTTGAAGACAAAGACTTTCCTATCTTGGGTTTTATAAATCTGCACCATGTACTCCAGTCCTTTTTCCATTACTTTCCTCTGTAAAATGATGGGGGATATGATTTGCTAAATAAAAAGACATAAATATATATAAAAAATGCTTCCAAGATTGGTTCACATAAAATACCACTTTATTGCAGAGAGAGTGTCCTGAGACAAAGTCCCTGTTTAAAATGCTTTATGGTGTTGGAAACCCCAATTGTTCTCGATATTTATTAGTTTGGCAAACAAGTTACTGTGTCCATGTCCCCATGGAGACAGAAAAATCAACCATCTCTGTGATCACTTACCTCTCTAAACACAGAGAATGTGTTCTGGGGCGCGAGCGTCTCCCAGCCGCTGGGTTACAAATGGCCGTGCCACTGGCAGAAATGAAATCTGGGAAGGAAAGAAATACGCTTAGAGCCCCGCAGACACGGGAGGCTGCTTTGTCATGCTGAGTGGTGACATTCAAATCTTTTTATTCCACAGTGCCGAAGATTGTAATATTAGGTCCACCCGCCTCGGGGAAAACAACTATAGTAAGTGTATCATGCTAAGTGTTGTGATATGGCAATATCTCATTTGTGCTGCAGCAGAAGGAGCCTGTACAGTGGATTGGCGTAGACCGGAGCTTTTCTTTTTTCTTTTCCTTCTCATTTTCTTATTACAAAAGGCAGTGTGTGCTCATGGTAGAAAATCTGGGAAATACATAACGCAAAATACAATGCCCCAACCTTCCCATGACACGATTATTTCCCCATGCTGGGATGGCCCTTCGGGGTGCTGCCACACCTGCAGAGTTGATCTGTGTGTGCTCTTGGCTGTAGCCCTAGACTCGTGAAGACGCAAGAGTGCTGGGTCAAACAGTGTATGCACTTCAGAGGTTCCTGGCATGGAATCATAAGATTAATTCTTATAATTTTAATGATGAAATATTTCAAGCAACCAGAAAATCCTGGAAACCATGCCACAGATATTCATGTGCTCAGCTCCTGATTTTACACACATTTACCATTTTGCCATCTTTGCTTTGTCTGTTCACTCTCCATTGTAGAGAAAACGCAACAAAAAGACCTAGCAAACACCTCAGCCCCTCACTGCTTGTCGTCTTTCCTCCCCACAGGCAGGCAGACATTGTCCAGAAGCTGGTGGGCTTCTTTCCATCAGTGGCTTCAATCTTCAGGCTTCAGGTCCTTTTTTTTTTTTTTTTTCAGTGCTGGGGATGGATCTCAGGGCCTTGTGTATGCTAGGTGAGGACTCTACTGCTGAGCTATATCCCCAGCCCTTAGGTCCATTTTTAAGTACCAAAATTGTGTTAAATTTTTAATCATCAAAGATAAGACTCTTTCTGTTTTCTCAAAGCCTGCTTGTGAACACCAGGGAGCCCTTCCCAGCTGCTGAGATCATCACCATGAGTGCTCAGCACTGGCCAGGACTGTGGGCCAGGCTGTTCCCCAGTTAAATATCACCTTTATTCTTAAAAGGAACTAAGATGGCAGACATTTGCACAAAACAACCTGCATCTGCTAATGCTTTTAGCATAGCTGTTCTGTTTATCTCTTGTCTGTGCATCTGTGTGTCCATCCATCCTCTGTCTATGTATAGTTTTTCTATTTGGTTCCTCTGCATCAGACTGTCAACTTCCACTCCTCTCTCCAGTCAGCCCCACTACCCCTGAATCCAGCCATTCTCACTGTGTTACTGTTAGAAACCAGGGGCTTGAAACCTGCCTGTCATTAGCATTACCAGGTGCTTTGAAATGTGCAGGTTCCTAGACTTCCCTCCAGACAGACCTTGTCAGACTGCTGTGGCATAGCCCAGAAAGCTTGCAGAAAAGGCTCCCCAGTGATCCTGACATTGGTCCTCAGGTAATAGACTACCTTTAGACACATGTTGGATTTACCAAACTCACTTACTCAAAAGAGTCCACCCATTCAGGATGAGGGGCTCTTTTTGTCTTGTGACCCTCAGGGCTACCTTTGCCTCACTCCTAGTTCTGGCTCTTCTGTGATCACTAGGTAGAAGGGTTCACTGGGAAAAGCAGGATCAGAGCACAGATTTTCCTTTTCTTTTTTTGCAGTACTGGGGTTTGAACTCAGGGCCTGTGCTTACTAGGTAGGTGCTCTACCACTTGAGCCACGTCCCCAGCATGCCCCTCTGCCTTTTTTTTAAAGCTTATTTTTTTTACCTTTTGTTTCTGGCCTTGACGACCATGACCTCAACTTTAATTTTATTTTTAGTTTGCTGTGAATTCATTAACACACACACACACTTGCTGTGTTTGGTTCATACATATTTTGTCAAATATCCTCCACCTTGAAATTCATTAATGAGCAATGTTAGACATATAAGGGAACACGGGCATGTCCACACACCCAGCTTCCCTTCTTGGCTTCTCTTGAGTTTGATTTAACCTCTCCCCTCCCTTGCCCCTCTCTGGCATTTATAGCAGATGTTTCATTTAGGAACATCGCACTAGCCTGCTCTATCACTTGCACTAGGGATTTTATACTACAGCTTCAAAGATCCACTGGACCTTTCTCACCTTCCCTAAAGAGGGAGACATAGTTGAGAATATAGGTTCTCTAGAGAGAACTTGTAGATCAGTGGATGAGCTGTGATGTCCTCATACCTGTGCACGTTCATCTATGCAGTGGGTGTGTTAAGGCCCACAGAGATCTTCTTTTGTCAAGCCCCAAAATGGCTGAGACCATCAACTTGGCTCCCCTGGTAGGCCAGGCCCTGGCAGCTGTCAGCTGGTATGGAAACTCAGACCTTTTGGCAAAAGGTCTCCCTGTCCTGAGTGTGGTATGGAGCCTCAGATTCTGATTTTACAATGTGAAGATGATACATAGGAGAACCCAAACAGAAATTTTCCTTATGTTGTCCTTGATGCTTCTCAGCTAGAGGAGCAGGGAGAGTTAAGAGTCACACAAACACCAAGAGTCACACCATCCTGGGTGCTGGTGGCTTAGGCCTCTCATCCTAGCTACCTAGGAGGCAGTGATCGGGAGGATCATAGTTCAAGGCCAGCCCCAGCAACAAAGTTTGCAAAACCCCACCTCAACAGGAAGAAGCTGGGCATGGTAGTATGCACCTGTCATCCCAGCTACAGCAGGAAGTGGAAAACAGGAGGATCGAGGTCCAGGCCAGCCTGAGCAAAGAGGGAGACCCTATCTCCAAAATAACCAGAGCAGAAAGGGCTGGAGGCATGGTTCAAGTGATAGAGCACCTGCCCATGCAAAGTCCTGAGCTCAAATCCCAGTAATGCCAGCCCAGGGAACTTGGCAGGGCCTTCAGAATTATCCCCATGCAAGATCACCAGCATGCTTTTGGTGTTAAGAACATTTTACTGCATCATTATTCCTGAAATGTCACTCTTCTCTTGTAGACTCTACTCACAATCATCAATGGATTAAACATTCAGTTGACCAGAATAAGTCAGTGTCTAAGGGAAAAGTGAACATTAAATAAGGGCTGAGACCATGTTTCCTGCCCTTAACTTTCTTGGTCTAAACCTTCCTGGGGTTAAAAACTTGTGGTCCACAGAGCTTGGAAAGACAGGGGGAGGGGAGCCACAGGGTAGCCTTCTAGACAGACAGAGCCTGTGGTGGTTGGAAGAGAAAGTACAGGAATCAGACTAGGAGGTTCCTTGTGGATTCACCTCCCTTGGGAGCCCGAATGTGGAAAGACTGGCATTTGAATGAAGTTACTCTTTTTTTTGCAACAGTCTCACTATGTAGCCCAGGCTGGCCTCTGACTGACAATCCTCCTGCCTCAGCTACCTGAGTGCTGGGATTATAGGCATGTACCACTGTGCCTGGCCTTGAATAGGCTTATCCTAAATATTGATTTTGATCACTAAAATGTTTGCGTCTGCTTTCCTTTCTTTAGGCAATGTGGCTATCCAAACATCTGAACAGCAGTCTCCTCACCAGGGACAACTTAATAGCAAGACAGTTTCCCCATGTGGCTTTCGAAGCCAGCAAGCATTACCAGAGGATCAAGGTGGGACTGGCCCCAGGGACAGGGATGGGGACAGACTGACACCTCTTCCCAGAACCACCACCCCCTGTCCTTGCTTGCTTGGCTAGTTTCCATTTTCTTTTGGGTTAAGTGGGGAGGAAGAGGCTGGGTAAAATAAGATACAGACAAGATGTGATGGAAGGAAGGAGAGAATTCTGAACTCGGGCTTGTATCCTGGTGGAGAAGGATCACTAAATGGAGCGAGGGACACTGTTTTGTCCCAGGAGAGTCTTGGTGGCCCATGTTTGCTCCTTTTCTTCTTAGGGTCAGCTTTGTGATGGGGGCAGAGTCAGAGCAGTGGTCTCCATCCCACAGATGGTAGACCTGGAGGCCTGAACTGGGCTGCAAGTTTAAAGGGCCATCATCCAGCTGTTTCCAGCACTGGCCCAAAGGGGCCTTTCCCTGCTGCTGCCCGGGTGCCCTGTGGCACAGAGCCTGTCCTCAAGGCTAGGCAGTTCCCATCCACTCTGTCCCTTTCTGGATGTCTTGGGGATACCCAGGAGGACCAGATGTTTTGTTTTCAAGATGCCACTACCTCTGTATTTGCAAAATGTCCTTTAAAGGGAAATACAGAGCTCTAGCACATAGTTTTTCTTTAATATAAATAGAAATACAAAGTATTTCTTAAATTCCCTATGGAGCATGAAGCAGGGATATGCCCTTTCAGTCTTCTTCCCTGGGCACCAGGCTTTCTCCTGGTGGTAAGGGGCACAACTGAGCACTCATGGTGCCTTCTAGGGGCTTCAGACAGCTGTGGCTTGTTGCTTTATGACACCCAGGCCACCATTGGGCCCCCTGACCCTTCTGTGGCTTAAAATTCAGCCAGTGAGTTAAATGCCAGCCAGACCCAGCTGAGTGTTACCACACTCATGCCATGAGACAAAACCCACATACTAGCTGACAGCACTTGTGAACTTCAGTCACCCACCATGCCACGGCACACCTTTTGTTCAAGAGTGCAGATCAAAGTTGAGTGCAGCAAACAGACAATTACTAAAAATCTGACAAAAGTTGAGTGTGGTGGTGAGAGTTAAGGGTATGAGCAGGCCGTGGGGATTCCACTGTCCTCTTTCCTGTGCCCTAAGTAGCCACTTGTCTTGCACAATGGTTAACCCAGGTCTGTCCAGGGCCCAAGCACCGAGGATGAAACCTCAGGGTCTCCCACATCTTCATTCAACAGCAAGGCCTGTACCCTGTGCTGTGTGGCCAGTGTTCTTGGAAGAACTTGGAAGTGAGTTTCTAGGCCTCATGGGCCAGCAGTGAATGGTGGCTGTCATAACCATGGCCAGCCCCTGGTTTCAAGTAGCAAGAGTGTGTCTGGGCTCCCCAGAGAGAAAGGGGACCTGGAAGGGGACACAGTGACTCCTGAGACCTGATAGATGGAAGACCCAGCTCCTCTTTGGGGACTTCTGCTGTTGTCACCCTTCTCTGCAGTTCTCTCTCCTCTCTGCTGTCTTTCATGGCTAGGCTCTTGGCCACTCATGGTGACCACTCCATCCTGGCTCTGGTGTCTTCCATTTAAACCACCCACAGAAGCAGTTCCAATGATAAAGCTGAGGAAAGGGATCTGCTGGGCTAGCTGGCCAGTTGTCCCAAGCACAGTCAGCTCTGGCGGGGTTGTGCAGAAGGCTCCGTGAGGCCCTGGAGCGGGAGCATGGCGGAAGGGTGCTGGCAGCCAGAGGCCAGCTCCTGGAGCTGGGAGCTGTCTTAAGGAGACTCCTAGTCCCAAGTGTGCCTATGACAGAAACCTGATGGAGAGGGAAGACCTCGCTGAGCAAGATCAGTCATCCACAGTGAGCTGCTGTCCCCTGGAATGCCCCCACAGTTCTGCGGGAGCTGGACCTCTGGTTATAGCTCAGGGACACCAGTTTTGGGGGTGGGACCATGATCAGGGAAAGCAGCTCTCAGTTCCTGTTTTACAGATTTGTTTCTAGGCTAAAGATGCCTTATTAGCTTCCTAGGTGGCAGGGTAGGGGGACTGAATTCCTCCTGGGCTAATTACCAGTGTAGTTCAGACCACATGGAAGTACTTTCAAGGGTGTCTTGTTGGGTTCCTACTTCAGAAACATGGGTAGAGAGAAGATGAAAGGCAAGGACTCCATGCCTAATCAAGGAGCAAATGGTTCTGTAGAGTGCAAGTGGCTGGGCCGCACCTGGCCTGGTCTTGTAGCGAGGCCTCTGGTTAAATGTCACCTTCAGATTGCTAATTGGGTCTTTATAGCTCCATCTGTAAGTGGCGATCATACCCTCTGATACCTGATTTGCAGCAGTTGCTGGTGTTCATCAAGACATCTCCATTTTAGGCACTTCCAAATGGGTTGTGAAATACTTCCTAATTGCCTGTGTATACTATATCCTGTGGGAGAACCATAGATGAATTCCTCTGTCTTGCCCCTGGGAGCATCTAGCCATGGCGAGATGCACAGTACCACAAACTGAGGCACAAGCCAGGATTTGGAAACTTCATCTAGTGCTGAGTGGGCTTACTAACTCACCAATTCACTTAGATGAGGTCTTAGCCATGGGCCAGGGCTAGGGGTGGAGCTCAGTGGCAGAACACTTGGCTAGTGTGCACAAGGCTTCAGCTTCCACTCCAGCACCACAAAAGAAAAACAAAAGGATACACAGGTCACAAGATGTAGGGCTCCAGGGGCCCGAGCTGCAGTAATGCTAAGCAGAGCTGCCTTAGGAGGAACTGTGAGGTTCCAAGACATGGAAGAGCCTGGAATCCAACAAAGTGTCACAAACCCAAGGGGCAGGCCACTCCTCAGAATGCTAGAGGTTCGAGCAACCAGGGGTTGGAAACAGCTTTTGTGTTCATTTTAACTGTGTTATGAAACATGCCAAAGTTCTACAGAAGCAGTGAGAACCCACGAGAATGTTGTGGCCAGTACCAAGTGAAGCAGCTGGGTTTTTGCTGGGCCTCACCAGCTCCCTGCGCAGGGGTGCATTTCCTCTCATCTGGAGTTGGATATGAAAACCCATAGAGAAACAACCGACCCACAATCTATGGCATCCAGCCCAGAAGCCTGCCTGCTGCCTGTGGTGACCAGCCCAGGAAGCCAGCTCACTGCCCATAGTGACAGCTCAAGGCCCTCTGTGAAGCCATCCCAATGCCCATAGTGACTGACTCGGGAAGCTGGCCCACTGCCTGCACTGAGTTACCAGTCCAGGGAGCCAGCCATCTGCCTATAGTGACCAGCCCCCATATTGGTCTGTTGGGTCCCACTGGCAGGAAGGCAGTCTGCTGTCCTGACCAGCAGTCCAGGATGCCAAACAATAACCCCCTAACAATCAAAGCCAACATGGCCAGGACAGCTTCCTTAACTTTTGTCCCTGCTGCCACCCTAGGACCAGCCAGAGGATGCCAATTATGCTTCTTTCACCAGTTGCATGGGATGCCCGCCTCTAGTTAGCCTCCCGTTCCTGCCACTGGACAGAGTCCTGCCCTCCTGGCTGTCTGGGACTCTCAGCCTTTGTTTCATCTGAACAGTCTTCATTTATGTCCACACTCTGAAAGACAAGGGCTGTGTTTTTGAAAGTACTAGGGATTGAATTTGGGGCCTCGCTTTACCACTTGTGCCAGGCCCCAGTCCTTTTGCCTTTTTAGTTTGTTTTTGAGATGGAATCTTGCTAACTTTTGCCCAGGCTGACCTCAAGCCACAATCCTCCTGACTCTGCCTCCCCAGTAGCTTGGATTACAGACACACACCACCATGCCTGGCTTATTGATTGAGATAGGGATCTCACTAACTTTTTGCCAACACTGGCCTCAAACGATGATCCTCCCAATCTCTGCCTTACAAGTAGCTGGGTTTATAGGCATGAGTCACTGTGTCCCACCTCCATAAAGGGTTCTTATTCATTCCCAGGAGAGCTGGAGCCCAAGTGCTGGCCTTTCCTCCGCACCTGGGTCCCTTAGGGGAAGACGTGGGGGAACAGTCCTCACCAAACTCTGGAATTTTGTGCTGTGGGTCAGAATGCCCATGAGTTCTCAGCAAGTAACACCACCAAGGTGACACAGGGACATTAGGATCCCTGAGAGTAGTGTCTGGGGAGAGGCAAGTCAGGCTCATGTCACACAGTGTGAAGATGTCCACTCTTTGAAACTAAGTGACTCCAGGGGGCAGAGCCCCCACACTGAGGTGAGGGGAGCAGCCTTCACACTTGGTAGGGGAGCAGTCCCCACACTGGGGGCTCCACATGTCCTTCAAGCAGGGCGCTACCTCGGAGAGCAGACAGCCACTCTGGTTCTGTTCCCTGGGCTCTGGCAGCTGTGGGAACCATGCTGGGCCCTGTGAGGAGAAGAGAAAAGGTCCGAATGCGCGTCTGCTGATCCCACCCTGAGGGCGAGGATGCGGCTGAGGGGGGTGGCTGTGCTGCCACCAAGCCTCTAGGCGGGGGCTGTGCCTGGCTGGACCTGCTCTCTGACCATGAGTGCTCTCACTGGACTCTGTACACTTGTCTCAGATTCTCCCCTGAAGCCAGACTTTGGGGTCTGGGGACGAAGAGCATCACTGCGTGATGATGGAAGCGGGAAGCCTGATTCTAGTGAAGACAGCTTGGCAGGGCTTCGAAAAGCAGCCCAGAAGCTCCGTGCTGATGTGACACATCAAGGCTGGCATCAAGACAGCACAGTGGCAGGCAGCCATGGTGGGTGCTTGGGATGGGCCATGCTCACAGCCGCCAGCCTGGCCCCTGCCACATGGGCTGCAGGGGGCACTCTGCCCCACCCGGCCCTGTCTTTCAACTCGTGCTCTGGCGGCTTGCATCCCATGCCAGTGGGCACCCTAGATCCTGGTACCTATTTGAATACTGCCTCCTGAGCAGGTGCTGTCAAGGAGGAACACAGCCTCAAGATGGAAACCCATGCTGCCTGGGGCAAGAGGGGACAGCTGGGGACAGGAAAGGATGGAGAGAATGGGGGAGGGGCACTGTGGAGGGGTGGGCAGGGCTGCTTCCTGCCCCATCACCCCGCCAACCTTGGGAAGCTCCTTTGGACCCCTGGGAGCAAGAGGCTCCTGCAGAAAATTGGCCTCCCTCTCCTGCAGCTCCTGGTTGGATGGGCTTTTTGTTGCTGGGGTCACTGAGAGCCATGGTTCTCAGGGGAGGCTCAGGTCCCCCAGCATCCACATCACTGGAGAACTTGTCAGAAATGCACATTCACAGCTCGTCCCCAGAACTCCTGAGTCAGGACGCGTGGCACGGGCACAGCAGTCTGTGCTTAGACACGAAATGCAGGGGTGGTGGTGACCATGTATGACACAAGGACTTTCAAGAGATGTTGGAGCCAGTGACTGGATTCTGCCTAGCCTCCTCCTCACCTCTCAGGTTTCTTCTTCTGTAAGCATTATTCATTCATTCTCTCCTCCTTCTTTCCTTCTTTTGCTATCTACTTCATAGAAACCATGGTGGCTCCATAATTTTCAACTGAACACATTGTAAGTCCAAATCCCAGCAGAGGGGCCCCCTTCCTCATTCTCTTCTTGTATTCTCTGCCTTTTTCTTCCAGTTCCATATCTCTGGAAAAACCATTCTGAACTGAGCCTGGTTTCTTTCTTTCTCTTTGTGCTGGCTTCATTCCCTTATACACTCCTCATACCTGCAAAGTGGCTGCCGCAGCTCTAGGTCTTAACATTCTCTCAGCTTCCAAGCTGGTGGAAAGCAAGGATTCCTGCCCTTGATGATTGCATTGGTGTCTTGGGCCTGAAAACAGTTGGTTGGAATTGAGTCAGAGGCAGCTTCTGAATTAATCACAGTGGTCAGGAATGAGATATGCTAACCACCTTGAGCCAATCAGAGCCCTCTTCTGAATCTAAAGTGAGTTGACCCCATCTATGCCATAAAGACTGGAGGGCAAGAGACTGCTTTTCAGGGGAAATTTGGGGCGTGTGAGGCTGCAGGTGAAGGAAGGCCCTGGGGTATAAAGTGTTCAGGGGAGCTAACCCTCAACACAGGGCTGGAGGGAAAGAGGTCGAAGGGGAAATTTGGGAAGTGGGTGCATGGAAAAAAATAAAAGCAAAAGCTATCATCTTGTTTCTGATTTCCACTAATGAGGTGTATGACCCTAAAAGGTCAAGACTTGCCCAAAGTCAACTAGCTGACTGGAGCTGCGGCAGCTATTCTGTAGTCAAGAGGGAAGAGTCTGCCCAGGGCAGAGATGAGAGGATGAGCCCTAATGCTGAGCTTGAATCTCTGCTCTACATAAGAAAAGCTGCATTAGGAAACCCAGAAGCCCCCACCAGTGGGTCTCCCCTGTCCTTTATGGGTGCCATGGTTGGACGGGGGAACAAAGTTTTGGCCCCTGGTGTGCACTACAAGGAGAAGTGGCACAGTCTTCTCTGAGCAGAACTGCTTTCCGGTCTAGTCCTCCACCAAGGAAGGAGCAATGCCAGCCGCATGGAGGGTGTGCAGGGTGGTCATTGCCGCAGTACCGAGCCTGGCTGGGCTAGGGCCCAGGCCAATGTAGCTCTCTCCCCTAAGGACCTCCCTGGGGAGAGGGAGACCCCTTCAACCTCCTCCCCTCCAGCCCGGGGCTGAGGGCCAGCTCCCCTGAACACCTCATACCCCAGGGCCTTCCTCACCTGCAGCCTCATGTGCCCCAGACCAGCCCGCCCTTGTCAGGGCCTGTGCACATGGCTCCAGGAACTGAGCCACCAAGGACTGTGCCTGCTCCATGCCTGCTCATCTGCATGCTCAGGTGCCCTGTTCCCTCTCCCAGAGTCCTCCCTTCACCTGTGCTGTTTATGAGCTGAGCCAAGCCTGTTCACTGGGCACTGGTCGAGGGAGGGGGAGGGAGGGAAGAGCAATGGCAACTGTCCGCAGAACCGGCTGCGTGCTCTCCTGAGCTCCGAGGTACAAACTGGGGCCCTTACGCTGCGTGTCGCCTTCCCTTTAGATGATTTCCAACACGCTGTTCATCCAGCTGCTTCAGGAGCGCCTGGGGGAAGAAGACTGCATCCGGAGGGTAAGCCCTGTGTGCCAGCAGGGAGGGTATCTCTTACCAGGAGAAAGGGGAGCCTGAGCGGTGTGTTCATCTCTGAGGGTGCACGACCAGGAGCCACAGAGAAAGTGAGGCCCAGGAACGGCCTTTGAGAATGTGTCTGTGGACGTGGGCCCCACCCATGTTGGAGAAGTAGCTGTGGGAGCTGGCTACTCCATCAGCGCCAGTAAGAAAGATCCAGCCCACCAGGAGGGGGCACAGGAGAGCAAAAGTGAATGTGGGGGCTTAGGTTAGGCAACCTGCATGCCCAGGGCCTAGCAGCTGTAGGGTTACATTTTTAATCATGATTTCTTCAAATCATTTCCTGTACTGTTTGAGAAAACCTGGTTCCATCCCAATGTGTGAGAACAGCCACTGGCTGCCCTGAGACCAAAGAAAGAGGCAGATCTATCAGATTACACAAAGTGAGACTTCCTGGGGACTTGGGACAGAAGCATGTCCCCAAAGAGGCAGCAGCATGACAGATGGATCCCTGCACCCAAAGGTAGGTTTTATATTAAGCTGGACCAAGGTGGACCATGGCCAACAGGAATATCCCTGGCCTTTCTCAAAACCTGTCCACGTATCCAGTGTGGGTTAAGAAGCAGGCAGAGCATCCATGGCTGGTGTGACACAGTCCTTTCTGTTTGTCCTGTTGGGCAAAATGACAGAAGTCAGGCCAAGCTGAATCCCTGCATGCACCGCACCCTTTCTCCCTTTCTCCTGCACTCCAGTGGCATGAGTGTGTTTTCCCACAGGTCCCTGAGCCTCCATTCTTTTATCTCTCTTTGCTCCCCAGATTCGATCATTTGTATTGAACTATCATCGGTTCTTCACTCTTTCTTCTGTTATATCCATTCCTCTGTTGAGCACATCCTGTGAGTTTTTATTTCGATTATTGTATTTCTCAGTTCTAAAAATTCCATTTGCTGCTTCTTTCTGTCTTCTATTTCTTTCCCGAGACTTTCTATCTTTCCATTTATTTAGTAGATGGGCATATATATAATGTCAACATTGAGTCATGCCAGTGACTGTGTGAGTCCCTGTGCTATGCTACTTTTGTCTCCTGGACATGTTTTGTGTTGTTATGAGACTCTGGGTCCTGTTGAAATCTCATGGCAAATCTTGGCAGGCTGGGTTCTGGCTGCAGGGCCCAGCCAGGCATCTCTGGGTTGTGGTTTCGGTGTCATTTTTGTTCTCCACAGATTTGTGGTGACTGTGCAGTGACTGCAGTGCCATCCCACTCTTTGCTGTGTGCGCCACTCAGGTCCTGGGCAGTGATCTGTGCTGCTACTTATTTCTCAGCATCTTTGGGATGCATGGCCCACACCTGCATAGCTTGAGGGTAAGGCCGTGAGTTCATAGAAAACTATACCTGCTTGCTGCTGTGGTGTGTACCCCAAGGTTCATGTGTTGGGCTTGATCCTCAGAGGGGTGGTATTTAGGGGGGGTGGGACCTTTATGAGGTGGTCTGTGGGAGGTCTTTAGGTCATTGACGGCACTGTCCTCAGAAGGGATGACGGCATCTCTTGTGGGATCCTCGTTAGTTCTCCAGAGGGGTTCTATGGAAGCCCAGTCCTGGCCTGCCTGGCCATGGTGGCCTTCTGTTTGAAGATGTGATCTCTCTCTCTTGCACACTCTCTTGCCTTTGCCACAGTGCCCTGTAGCTAAGGAAGGGTCTTGCCAGAGCTTGTGACATGCTGTTTGGATTTCAGCCTCCAAGACCATGAGCTGAATACCACTCTTTTCTTTATGGGGTCAGCCTGCCTCAGGTATCTGGTTGTAGAAGCACAAAAATGCACTAATAAGGTCGCTTTCCTGAGCTCCCCACTCTCGTGTCTCCCTGGTACCTTCCAGCTCCCTGGTGCTCCTCTTATTGGTCTTTTGGACAGAAAACTGGGGTTTTACCTATCCTACTTTGCCACGTGCTTCCTGGGACCGTACTCGTGACCTCGGCCAAGTAGTGTGCAGACAGAGAGAGTGATAATTAGGAGGTTGCTCTGTGCTCTTGGGACCCCGTTGTCACTGCTGTACTACCACAGCCGTAGCAGGATTGTCTAGGGTGGTGACTCCCCTGTAGAAGCCCTGCTGTCTGAGTCCCCTTTCCTCTTCCTCCTCTGGCCCTCCCCCATCTCCACCTGGTGCCTGCTTTGGGGTCATGTTGCCTTACAGTCATGCCAAGAGCTATTACTGGTCTGGTGGTCTTTAGAATCCTGGTCTTCTTCCCCAGTGTTCCTGCTCCTGTGTACCTTCCACAGAGACTTCTCCCTCCCCAGTCCCATGTTCTATGTGTGTCATTGGTGCTGTTGCTTCAGTGCAAAGGCGGGCTGTGCTTACTCCATCCTGCCCAGAGCTGGGCTTGTGCTTCTTATGGTAACACACAGGTACAGGCAGTCTCCCCTCCACCGCCCTCCCTTAACAGTTGATTTGGAGGCCCACAATTGAGAAAGATACCCAGGAATCTTTCCAGCATGCTTGCGATGAGTTAACAGTTCCTCCGGGTTTGCTCTGCATGGTCCCCAGCCCTGGGATCTGAATCATAAGTGGGTCCCAGATAAGCTGCAGATTGGGAGTCACCAGGGGTTCTAAAGAGTATGTTTTCCTGTGACTTCAAAGTGCTCACCGTGAGCTGATGGTCCCCTGTCCAGGCACAAGCAGGTATCCAGAGCTGAGGTTGCTCTGTTTTTTTCTGTAGAGACTAGATGGTAACTAGTTGAGGTTTTGCAAACTACACAGTCTGTGGCAACAGCTGTGATGCAATGTAGAAACGGTAGACACAGTATGTAAATAGAGGGGCAGGATTATATTCCAATACAATTTTATTTACAAATACAGGCAGCAGGAAATTTGACCTGGGGCTATACTTGGCCAACCCTTGTTCTAAATTAGGCCTTCACATAATCATAAAAACATTTCTGCCCAGTCTCTTCAGCTCTAAATGAGAAGCAAACGTCTGTCTTCTGTGAATGTTAGAAGGCCAGCTTAACTGTAAACTTTCATTTTAACAGAGTTCCCTCCTTGTCAGCCATTCCCACGTCTACCTGACTCCATTCCTTAGCCTCCAGCTGAACCCTGGCAGGCACTGCACTGCACTGTCCTTTTCATCAGCAAGTGCAGCTTGTCTGTCACATCTGGCCAAACATGGAGTGGTGTTACTCCTGTTGCACAAGTGTCCCTGAGTTGCCCAGGACTGGAACCCTTCGGCAGGGCTGGGGGCTGTATTGGAAAGCACAGTGGGGAGCTAGAGTTGCCTCAGTGGTAGATTGTGTGCTTAGCATGTGCAAGGCCCTGCTTCAATCCCTACCACCCCCAAAGTAAAATAAAACACAGCTGGACATAGTCTTGCACATCAGGCAGAGTTTGAAGTTCCATATACCAAGGGTGGGGAGTCAGGGACATCAGCATGATTGGCATTGGCTCTGACACATGGGAAAGAGTACTTCTGCCATTCCTATCCCCGGAATAGTACTCACCCTAAAAAAAGTTGGCCCTCATGTGCCACGGTCATCACGTCTGCCAAACAAAATTTCCTGCGGAGATGGCTCTGCATTTCTCTCTGGCTTAGCAAGGGGAGAAGGGCCTCTCCACACCTCTCTGGGGAATCTGCTTCTCTCTTTTCAGATTTCCTTTTAAGATGCTGAGGACCCCACACACCTGTGGTCTAGGTGCTTGAGGGGAACCAGTGTATCCCGGTTCTCCCCTGCAGAGTGAAGTGTTTGCTTTGACTGGCTGCCTTGGTGTAACAGCAGCCAGCAACCAGGGCCTACCTTGTCCTTAGAAGGAAAAAGGCTCTAGGGGCCAGGCAGCAGGAGGGCAAGCAGATCCAGCCGTTCTGCTCACCATCTGCCTCTGCCCAAGGAAAGTCCGAGACCTGACTCAGGCACTGTGTTCAGCAGTTTACACCCCCCACCTCCTCATGTGTCACGTGAGCCTGTAAGGTTACTGTCATTGTCCCCATTGCGTAGATGCAGGGCCTGAGGCCTGCCCAGAGCCATGCTGTAGGAAGTGGTGAGGCTGGCCAGCGCGGACCAGGGCACAGTACATGGGGCTGGTACTTTGCTTCCTGGGCTGTATGACCGTGCAGCCCCTACAGACAGTACAGTGCTGTGCGGAGGCTGTCCGCTGTCATGCTTTGGGCCATTCACTGGCTTGATGCCTCCCTCCCAATTTCCCCATGCAACCTGCCATGTCCCTCTGTTATGGTCAGTACTGAATGCCGGGATATGTTGAACTACCTGTTTCCTCGGCCAGCGCTGCTAGAAGCACTCATTTGCTCACTCATTCTCTTGTGAGCAAACCTTTACTTCTCTTAGCCAAAGTGAGAGAACCAAAGGAGCCAAAAGAGGGAACAAGAGCTCATCAGCGAGCCCTTGCATAACCTGGTGTACACAAGGCCCTGGGTTCCATCCCTACGAGGCGGGGCGGAGAGAGAGAGATGCCTTCTATTGAGGAGCACAAGCCTTCGTCTTAGGGAGACGGGTGAGAAAGCACATAAACGCAATGTGTACTGATGAGGTCAGCCGGAAGCAGCACAGGAAGAGTCCTGGCAGGCCTGGCTGTCACAGCCCTGAGAAGATGGGCCCATGGAGGTTCTGTGGGCCGTCTCCCCATCCCCACTCCTTCACTGTTGTGGAGCACTGAGAAGAACAGAGGCAGAGAGGACAGAGGGAAAGGAAGGGAGAAACATGCCCTGATATGGTGTTGGTAACCCTTGATGGGCTGACAAGGAAGCCCTCAAGTCACCATCTTCAACCTTGTAGCACACAATACTGTGATGTGTAACTGACTCTCAAGTTACTGCATTCAGTCAGTGTTTGCAGTGTGAATGCTCAGCCTGCTTCAGATGCAGGGTTGAGTTGTTGGGTGTCTGTGTGTCCCGCTAGTGAGATATATCCCCCTGAACTCTGGCTGTGCTTCTGTTTCTATTCTCAAACTTTAGAAATGACAGATAATTTAGACACAGGCTCCAGCTTGCCTGGACTACC